AGATCCCCAGAAAGTATGGGGCACAAATGTCTCCAGAGCAGTTGGGGCAGCCCTGGAAGCCGAGCAGGATAATCATTCACCAAGCATGGAGCCGGGAGGCACACAGGACACCCCTTGCCATTGCTCACTGGCAAACACTATTAAACCCAGCTCATTGTAACCACACTCTGCACATCATCGTGGATCAAGAAGAGCAGGAGGCTCAAACCACCCAGTAGAGAGGGCTAAGGACAGCTGTGCAACACACACCCCATACACTTGCTCAGATCCGGCACAGGCACTGAAAGAGGACTGCACTGGCTGGAAGACCCTCTTCTCTACAGATGTCTGCTGGAATACCTGCCCAAGGATGATCTGGCCCATGGTAAGCCAGCACTGAATGGAAACAGGAAGAACTGGCCAGGTGCTCTCTCCAGACTAGCCATGCTCACACAAATCGCAGTTAGATACATTTTTCTGCCTTATATTATCCCAGGAACAAAAATAGCCGGGCTTTGTTCATTTAGGTGGGTACAAATAATTTTTAATGGCAACTTGCCCATTCAAAATGCACACTCCAGACTATTTCAAGCAGTAAAAGCAGCTCTTTGCCAAAACCAAGGGCTAATCCTTTATCTGAAGCTATTCAAGTACTATCATTAGTTCAAGCAGAAAAACAATGCTTCCTGCCAGAACCAGAGTTATCTTTTCTTATCATTAAGTCATGAAGGGAAGAAGCAATAAATAACAGTACACCAAAAAATGGTTGTTCTAATGAGCAAAAATAGCTCTGTCAAAACAGGTACATGTAGCAGATACTTATCCAAAAATACGGAACTGAATATAATAGTCTAGTGGTTTTAAAATGAATGTGTGCTCTGGCATTTGCAGCTGGAACACCAGAATGCTGGTCCCACAGGAGGGTCAGACGTGGCTCTTGGGCTGCAGCCAGGGCAGGCTCATGCCATGAGGTCTCAGATCTCCTCACTGCCAGGCTGGGTACTAGCCCAAAGCCCACGTTCAGCCCCTTGCAGGGCAATTCTGCAGGCAGATCAGGGATGCCACATTGGTGTCATTGCCCACCACAATGCATGCTGTGCCATCAAGTGCTAACTAGGTGTCCTGGGTTCAGCTACAGCAGTCATTTTTTCTCCTTCTTAGTAGCTGGTGCAGTGCTGTGTTTTTGACTTTCAGTCTGGGAACAATGCTGATAACACCGATGTTTTTAGTTGTTGCTAAGTAATGTTTACTCTGACCAAGGACTTTCTCAGTCTCATGCTTTGCCAGAGAGGAGGGGAAGC